GGAGTAAACATAATTCTTTATGTCATTACCGTGTCACCATTAAATGATAATTGTGAAGCTCAAAAGATATACAGTGTTTACAAACCTTCCATCCATGGTTAGTTGCTCATGCGTCAAATAATACAGAGGTTCTATTAAACCTATCTTGGAGTCTCACCACGTAGTTACAGTCCATTTCGTCACGTCGAATCATGATCTGTCTGACAACCATACATTCTGACAATAATCCTGCATCGTGGTTTTTATTGCAAAAGGCTCCGTCGTAAGGCTGTCATGTCCAGAGCACAATCCCCCTCCTTACATTCTTTCCATAATCAATCTAGTGTACGAGGAAGACAGTTTTCTTGTGTCTCTTTAAACAATCTGATTGCACAGAAATCCAGAAGTGCTGTGTGCGGTAACTTGAAAAATATGTCTTCGTATGGAATAGCATGAATACCTGTTTCATTCTCCAGCTGCATCAGGTATTTGCTGATTTGCATATTACAACTCTTTTAAAATAACGTACTGTATTCTACAACTACATGTAAGTAATCTCTGCTGAAAGAGTTTAATGACAATTCAGAGGACACTTCCATTTACTTGGTCATTATTCTGTTGTCCTTTTTTATCACGTAGTCGAGTAAACATCTTATCAACATCTTCTCTGAACGATCCATAAAATATTGTAGGATCTGGATTATAAGAATATATTCAACTCTAGTGTCCTGGGTGTAATTAAAATTGTATAAACGAAAAGTTTACTGAAAATAGAAGTTAGATGATGCCATTCAACATTTCTAACAGGAACTCACATGACCAAATCGTTATTGTGTTACTATCTTAAAATATCAGTAGCTAGCGTTATTGCAGAACCAGTAGGTAGTAATATTGCAGAACCAGTAGCTAGTGTTATTGCAGAACCAGTTGCTAGTATTATTGCAGAACCAGTTGCTTGTATTATTGCAGAACCAGCTGCTAGTATTATTGCAGAACCAGTAGCTAGTATTATTGCAGAACCAGTAGCTAGTATTGTTGCAGAACCAGTAGCTAGTATTACTGCAGAACCAGCAGCTAGAATTATTGCAGAACCAGTAGCTAGTAATATTGCAGAACCAGTTGCTAGTATTATTGCAGAACCAGTAGCTAGTAATATTGCACAACCAGTAGCTAGCGTTATTGCAGAACCAGTAGGTAGTAATATTGCAGAACCAGCAGGTAGTAATATTGCAGAACCAGTAGCTAGTGTTATTGCAGAACCAGTTGCTATTATTATTGCAGAACCAGTTGCTAGTATTATTGCAGAACCAG